ATCTCGAAGATCCGTTTTGTGTGGGGGCCTGTTGTGGTCCATGTGCTCTGCCCGGGGAGACCTCAAGTTTCTGCGGGGCCCTTTGAATCTCTGAAGCCCCTGGGGAGCCCCTCGGAACCTCTCGGGATCGAGGTTCGAGGTCAACGGTGTTTTAACGTTTTGTGTTTCTCGACCTCTGTCTGTGCCTGCGGGAGGGGGGGGGTCGCGTCGCCGCGGCGAGAATCCCCTCTGGCTGCCTACCAAGATGCACACCAGAAGATGTATGGGCGGGAAATGTGTTTTGGTCAGGAGGGCCCGAGAGGCTTTACATATAAGAACAACCATATGCAACAGGGAACTTGGTATAACCGTAGCAGACATAAGTTGGTTGTAGCGGGTTGCATGTTCTTGAAGGGGTCGCACATAAGTGCCTCTTACTTTGCGTTGCTGCTGGTGCTGCTGGGGCTCTCGCCTCAGCGCCGCGCGCATTCGTCTCAAAAGCTTCAACAGCTATGAGGAGGGAGGGTAGTCATGTCAAAATTGGGCTCTCGCCTAAGCGCCGCGCACACTCGACATGAAACTTTGCAGCGGTTATGGAAAAGGATGTAAGGGACGGATCGTTTTCCAAATCGGGCTCTCGCTCCAGCGCCATGCCCATGTGTCCCTTGAACTTGCAACATCCACAGGGATGGAGGAAGAAGGGATGGGATTTGTTCAAAAGGGGTCTCTCGCCTCAGCGCCTCAAAAGCTTGCAACTATCAACCGGATAGGGGGAGGGTCGTTTTCAAAAGGGGGCACCCGCCTCAACGCCACGCACACTCTTCTTAAGCATTGCAGCAATTCAACTGCTGGGGGGCAGTGGTCTTCAACTAGAGCGCTGTTACGCCGCGCACATCGGACACAAAAGCGTGCAACACTTGTATGCACAGAGGGCGGCTCCCATTTCAAAATGGGGCTCTCGCCCAGAGCCGCGCACATTCGTCTAACTAACATGCTGCGTGCAGAATGAGGTTTTTGAAATGAGACTCTCGCTTGAATTTCGCGAAATCCAAGGACCATAAACACGAGTAATGTTGGCCAGCGTGGATACCGGACAGTCTGATTCTAGCAATGTATGGTGCGCAGCATGTGTGCTGCAAAATATGTGGCGCACCGGTGCGGTGCCATCTATATGGTACAGATGTAGTGTGCACTGTATGTGGTGCAAAGAATGTTGTGCGACCCATGCGGTGCAATCTATGCAATTCAATAAGTGGCATGCAAGCCATGTGTTGCCGTCTAAGTGGTGCAATATATATATATATATATATATATATATATATGATATATGATATAATATGTGGTGTTTTCTCCACGTGGTGCAACCTATGTGGTGCAGTATATGTTGTGCATTCGATGTGGTGCAATGTATGTTATCCAACTCAGATGGTGCAGCCTATGCTGTTCAATGCCAGTTCTGCAAGCAAGGTGGTGCAGCCTAAGTGGTGCGATCTACGTGGTGCAGTATCTGTTGTGCACCCTTTGTGGTGCACTACATGTTGGTGCACTCGATGTGGTGCAATACATGTTGTGCACTCCATGTGGTGCAACACATGTTGTGCAATACATGTGGTGCAATTTGTGCGGTTCAGTCTACGGTGTGCAAGCTCAGTGGTGCAGTCTGAATGGTGCAACATATATGGTGTCATCTGTGTTGTGACCCTATGTGGTGCAATATGTGCTGTGGAAAACAACTTGTGCACACGATGCGGTGCATTTTAAGGGTTCAACCCATGTGGTGCAACCTATGCGGTTCAACGCATACTGTGCAAGCTATGTGATGCAGTCTAAGTGGTGCTATGTTGTGTAACCTATGTTGTGCAACCTGCGTTGTGCAATATATGTGGTGCCACCTAGGTGGTGCAATACAGGTCCTGCACTTTATGTGGTGCAAGCTACGTTGTGCAAGCTATGTGGTGCACTATGCGCAATGCAAAAAGTGTTGTGCAAGCTATGTGGTACCATCACTGTGTTGTAATATATGCGGTGCAATCTTTGTGGTGCAATTTATGTGGTCCGGCTCTATGTTGTGCAATGTAGGGCGGTGACGAGGGGGCTACGGGGGCAAGATAGCCGCCAGACCGTCACACTGGCCCAGACGACGGGCGGCGACGAAACGGCGACGGGGCGGCGACGGCGACTTAGACGCCAGACCGCCCAACCAGCCTAGACGACGGGCCGCGACGAAACGGCGACGGGGCGGCGACGGCGACAACATGGCCGGCAGACCGCCACACTGGCCCAGACGACGGGTGGCGACGAGGCGGCGACGGGGCGGCGACGGCGACAACATAGCCGCCAGACCCAAACACCGACCCAGTTCCTTCGCACCGAAGTAAGAACCCCTAGGGGAAAGCACTTTTCGAGGAATCTGCAACAACTGCTCGAATGGCCCTCGATTCCTTTCCAGAGCGGGGCTCTCGCCTGAGACCAGGAACGCAAACTTGCGCGACCGTTGCACAGATGGGTGGGGGTGCAGTCT